TGCAGCTGAGAGTCCATATATATATATATATATATATATATATATATATATATATATATATATGGTTTGGAATTAATATTTGATCAATTGGAGGTGATGAAGAATAATGGGATGTGATGATGTCCCCCCACACACACATAGGATTATCATCCCCAAACTTGTAATATCAGAGCAACAACCCAGAAACCTGGCTGCTAGCAAGGGATTTCTAACAGATTATTTGTTCACTGGCAGACTGAAGAGATTCTAAAGGGGTTGGGTGAGTGGCACAGGGGCCACATGGTTCCGCATTGCCTCTTCCACAAAGAGCTGTGAGGCCACAGACACTAACTCCAAATGAAGTCGTACACATGGTCACTGAGGCACTGACAGAGTTGAGGGAGATGTCCCCCACAAATGGCAATCTGGTTCCCACTCTGGAGACCCTATAAGCACTATAGCTTGTTGTCATTTTAAAATCCTGAGGCTTGCCTTGCAAGCAGCAGATCGGCTTTGTTTATGCATTGAGCACATTCATGCACATATATAGACAGACATACACACACACACACACACATATACATGTGTGTTTATTATAATTTACCACCACTTTCCGCTGCTCTTTCTGGCCTTTCTCCCTCCGTGAAAAAATAAAATAATCAAAGGCCTCTGGAGCCCTTGGATGCCTGCCCCTCCCTGACAGCCCCTCTCCCTGTCTCTTATTGTAGAAATACTGTTTCATCATCACAAGTTGGTCCCAGGAAGGCCTTCTCCACAAGGAAGTAAAACTGCCAACCTGCCTCCCCCTGAGAGCCCTAAGTCTTGGGCTGCCAAGACTTAGTTTTTAGCTATGTGTGCCTGTGGCCCCTCCCTCTCCCTCTGCTCCAGAAACCCTGGCATAGCTCTTAGTCTTTGAAGACATCTGCAGCATGCACCCTCTCTTACCTCGAGTAGGTTGGCAGCTGGGTGCGTCACACATCATGGAGCCGGCACACCTGGGCAGCATCGCCACCTTGACACCTGCTGTGGTTGGACTGATTACATGCCCACGGCACATCCTATTGTTCTCTGGGAAGGGGGGTGTTCCCAGATGTGCTCCTGGGCTGGGTGAGGTCCAGATGGCGGGAGAAATGTGCAAGAATATAAGGCTTCCCAGAAGAAGCAAGCCCTTTTTCCTGGGTTGGCATGTGCCATTCTCAGAGCCAGCTTTACCCTCAGAGGATCTTACAGGAGGTGCCCTTGAGCCCCACACACTAACAAAAAGCACCCAGTGGGCTCCACTCCTCCAACAGAGGAAGCAACTGCTACAGGAGCAGGAAGTGTAAGCTGGCGATGTCCACTTGGTCAAGACACTGGCGCTCGGGTAGGAAAGGTGAGCAATGGTGGGAGAAAGCCGTCATCCACTATTGGCTCGTAAGGGGTCTTGTGTCCATGAAAACAGATCCTCTCTGGTCAGATATAACCCATACCAGGCAGGGCACATGGCTTTCTGGGTAGCAAGCAAGCTTCAGCACTTACATGGCCAAAACCATATGGTTGCCTCTTGTCTCTTCTGCCAGTGTTCTTGATCTGTGAACATGGAGCAAATGTAAGCAGCAGTATGGCTCAGGGAGAAGAAGGAAGAGACAGGAAGGTTATCCTCACCATCTGAGGCTCACCACAGCTGTCTGCCTCTTTCCCAGACACAGAAGCACCATCTGGGTTGGGTTTCTATACTTAGTCCATCGCCATCCCACGCCCACCTAGATCATCTCTTCACATCTGACCCTTCTCTCGAGGCCTCTCAAGTCTGACTCTGAAGCCATCCCTGACGGCCCTTTCCCCTTGGGAAGTATTCTTCATGTCTGCTCCTTAAACATGCTCTCAACAACGTGCGATAGATGGCTGTGACACCCTGTGCAGCTGTGTCTCCCCCCACCCCCCGTCCTGAGACTGTAGGCCTGCCTGACAAGCTCTAGGGACCTGACCCAGGCTAGCCTGCAGTGCGCTAAGACATAAAAGCATGAGGCATGAGATCGGATTGAAAAGCCCTAGTTGTGGGCCGCACAGGGTAACCTGGGAAAAAGACCCCCCTCATCTCACACCTCAGTCCTGGGTATGAGGTCCAGGGACTGAAGAAATAATCTCCGTGGGTTCTATTAGCGCTGAGCCCCACCAAACAGCAATTAGTAGTCAGTGCCTCACTCAGCCAGTCACCCCCAATGCCTGGAAGCCCAGGCTTAATACAACAGTCGCCTTGTCTAGGTTGCCTCCAGATGAAATGAGCGCAGGTGTCTAGCTTTGGCAATGGGCCCCGATTTGCTTGCTAAGCCACAGACACTAACCTGGCAAACAGGAGCTCAGAAGCCCCACTCGGCAGACCTCTTCAACAGTCTGGGGAAGGAGGAGAGTAAGCCTAGAAGAGAAACAGGGAGAAAAATGCCACAGGGCAGTCAAGGCCTACTATCTCCTCCCTCAACACCTCCTTAACTAGTGGCCAATAGCTCTCCCGGGTTGTTGTTGCCATCATTCAAGTGACCTTTAAAATGTCACTAGCTCAGAGCCCAAATTTCAGTTTGACCAACTGAACTTTAAGTTGTGTGGCCTAATTGTCAAACAGAGCAGGAGAGTGAATTCTCATGCTCTGAAAGCCTCCAGTAGGAAGGTACTTCAAGAGTTGGGGCAGCCAGAATCCTGACAGATGTCTATTCCAAAGCTGCTGGTCAGACTTAGAAAGGGGCCATCATAATTTCCACGGCAGGCCCCCAAAGCCTCAGAATGTGACCTTAGCTGAGGAGTCACCCTGGATTTAAACAGTGCCATGAGTTCAGCAACTCTCTAAGAAGACACAGAGAAGGCTGTGTGAACACAGGAGGCAGAGATGGACAGCTATAGTTATGACAAGGACATTCCGGACAAGGGCTAAGCACGCTGGCACCTTGGATTTGGGCTTCTGGCATTCAGAGCCTCAGAAGGGCCATCTTCTGTAGATTTAATGTGCCCACTTTGTGGTTATGTCTATGGAAGCGCAAAGAAACAGATACAGAGCCAGGACCAGGCTAGAGTTGGTGTACTGAGACCACCAGAGGCTGTCACAGGGGACAGAAGGAGGCACGAGGCAGGGTCTTCCCCAGAGCTATTTGTTGCTTGCACAACTCCCAGCAGCCCTTGGGCTCCTGGGATGCCCCAGGATCTGTCAACAATTACTCTTTCTTGCATAATCTGATTACAGCCGCTTCCTGTCGCTTCTCACAAAACCCCTCAAGCCCTCATCTATAACTGTGCCCTAGCTTTCTGCTTAGGTTGTAACTACAATACCAGCTGCAGAGGGAAGGAGCCACCGGGTGAGGGTTAGCCATTGGCAAAGAGGCTGTGCCTTCGCCCCCAAGGCGCTGGTGTCCCAAGAAAAGCCCCCCTGAGGACAGCAGGCCAGGCACGAGGCCTGAGGCCACCACTCAGATATCACGTTTGAAGAGGGACCTCAGCGTGTTCCTTTTGTTTTTAATCCCCCGACCCCACAGTCCAGAGTTGTTCCTTACTGAACATTTCCTGTCAAGTGCAGTTGAGAGGCTGCGGGGGGGGGGGGGGGGAGAGGGACTCTGTTGCTTTCTAGCAAACAGGAAAATAACTCTTGACCTGCAAAATGAGGACACCCTGTAGGAAGAGGGAAGTTCAGAGCCGAATGGGCAGAGGGGTGGGGATGGAACCCCACTGTGCGCTTGCTGCCCTCTCTGGGACAGAAGCTAAGTCATTTAGCCAGCCAGCCGGGACCGGGGTGGGCCCCTGAGGCGGGCACCAGTCCAAACCGGGCAGCGCAGGAGGATCCTCAGAAATGGAGAGAGCGAGGTTTCCGAGAAGAGGGGATTGGCACACCTCTGCTACTTGAGGAGGGGTACCCGGTGGTGGGCAGGGGGAGTGGGGCCCCGAGACCCAGCCCGGTTTGGGAACTCATTTAACCGTTACTTCAGCGACTCCTCCTGCTCCTTTCTTCGCTAACCTTGGCGACGCAGGGACACCTACCCCTGCCTGACACTTGCGGCTACTCTCTGGCCCTCCCTCGCGTGTGGTAGTCACACGGGGAGAGCGCGACCCTCCGGCAACTCTCATGGTTTCAAAACCGCCCTGCCCGGGGACCTACGAACACCGTCTAACATCAGCGTCCAGCGCCACGCTTGTGTCCCTTCGTCTAAATAAAGGGACAGGAGGTGGCTCGGAGAGAGGAGAGGAAAAAACGCTCGCTCGAACTCACGCGCGCCCTCAACAGCAGAAGAGGGGATGCGAACCCGCCCGCCCAGCTCCCACTGTCCGCCAGGGCTGCGCATCCCCCCACCCCACCCCCCTTCCCACCTCGGCTAGAGGCGCGGGCGCTGCCCAGGGAGGAGTGTGCCTCGGGCGGCCGCTAATCGCCCGCCGTGCCCCCGCCCCTGTCTCCCTGGCTGGATCGCGCTCCCCTTCCCCCCCCCCCCCGAGCGGGGCCGGGCAAGCGATTGGCCGGCGGTAATTACGGGCACGCTCCAGGAGGGGGGCCGGGCGGGCGGGGGCGACCCCCCGCGAGCATAAATTATGCAGATAGGCCGGCGCCGCACGGGGCTGACCTGCCGCCTCGCTCCATTCACCCGGGGCCGCCTCGGGGGCGGAGGTGGCCGGGGAGGTGGGGGGGGGGGTGGCTCTCATTGTTGCGCTCCGTACTTAAAGGGGTCCTGAGGCCGGTCGTGTGCCACACACTCCGTGCTCGCACGAGCTGATCTGATCGCCGGCGACATCACTCGGGAGACCGGCCGGGCGCGTGGCCCCTGCAGGCGAGGCGAGGCGACGAGGCCAAGCCCATCCATCCATCCATCCATCCCCACCCTACCCCACCCCCTGAGTCCCCGCCACCTCCCCGGGCCCTCACGCCTGCCACGGGGCCACCGGCTAGCCCCGGGTCGGACGTAAGTGCGCCCAGACAGCGGTGCCCTCGGCCCACACCCAGGGCCGCCACCCCCCCTCACCCCCAAGCCTCCTGTCCGTCGCTCCTCCTGTCGCTCCCGCGCGCTGCCACCATGCCGGCCCCTCTGGAGCCCTGCCTCTCCGAGCTCGACGGCAGCGCCAGCGGCGGCGGAGACCCGTCCAGCCTCCTCACCGACGACGAGGACTGCGCCAGGCCCCGGGCCGCGGCCCCCACCCCGGGGCTGTCCGTGCCAGCCCGCAGGAGCGCGCCCACCGGCTCCTCCGCCGTCCCCGGCGCCCAGGACGAAGAGCAGGAGCGGCGACGGCGGCGGGGTCGCGCCCGGGTGCGCTCCGAGGCGCTGCTGCACTCCCTGCGGAGGAGCCGTCGGGTCAAGGCCAACGACCGCGAGCGAAACCGCATGCACAACCTCAACGCCGCCCTGGACGCGCTGCGCAGCGTGCTGCCCTCGTTCCCCGACGACACCAAGCTCACCAAAATTGAGACCCTGCGCTTCGCTTACAACTACATCTGGGCCCTGGCTGAGACGCTGCGCCTGGCAGATCAAGGGCTCCCCGGGGGCGGTGCCCGGGAGCGTCTCCTGCCCCCGCAGTGTGTCCCCTGCCTGGCCGGGCCCCCGCCGAGCCCTGCTAGCGACACGGAGTCCTGGGGCTCCGGGGCCGCTGCCTCCCCCTGCGCCACTGTAGCATCGCCGCTCTCTGACCCCAGCAGTCCCTCGGCCTCGGAAGACTTCGCCTACGGCCCCGGCGACCCCCTCTTCTCCTTCCCTGGCCTGCCCAAAGACCTGCTCCACGCGACGCCCTGTTTCATGCCGTACCACTAGGCCTTTGTCAGGCAACGTTAATCCCGTCTTCCTCCCCCCCCCCCCCGGGTCAATGAGCGATAGATGGAGAACCGGCTGAAGCCTCGGGGGTCCGCCCTCACCCCCAGGTGGACGCCGGGAGCTTTAAAGGGTGGGGATACCTGAGCGCTGGCTTAGTCGCGGCACCCTCTCTGAGGCTGTCCCTTGCTCCTTTTCCCCACCCACAACACCGGC